TTTTTTAACACACTTTCGATTTCTGAAACATTTATGAGAGTTGCTTTAAAAAAAGGCAGTGAGTCTGGTTTGATAACACCAGACCTTGGAGGACAACATACCCCAGCAAATAAATTGCCATGTGAAAGGTTAGAACGGATCAAAAACCATTTTTCTTAGTTTCAGTTTATAAAAGCCACTACAACAGAGAAAGATCCAAGCGCAGATATTTGGGGAATCACCTGAACATTTCCACAATGTACTCAGTGTATGTAGATGAGTACCAACAAGAAAACATCAAACCAGAAAAAAGTGGGTTTATTCTAAAGTTTTCGATGAACATTTCAACTTGTCTTTTCACTTACTAGACAATGACACCTGTGAAATTAAAAGTGAAAAAATGAAGAAAAACTCATTGATCTTAAATTACAAAAAGAAAACCACCTGAAAGATGCTTCACTTACGTATGACTTAAAACGAGAAGATCAACTTGAAGCCCGTGCTAACCAAGCTTTCAGAATCATTATGTCTGATCTCCAAAAATGTCTTCTAATGCCTGATTTGAAAAATTCCTAAAGTTTTATTCAAGAAAGCTTTAAACATTAAACAGTACAATTTATGACACAACTGCTAACAAAATCTGGATGAGGTTACAGCCGGTCGAGAAGGTAACAAAATAGCATCATGTTTATTCACTTGGAAGAACTTCGAAATCCTGATAGATCTACTGAGAAGTTAACAGTGTGGACAGATGATTTCAGTAGCCAAAATAGGAATATTAATATGGTATTCATGTATCTGTCGCTGTTAAGAAAAGAACCGACCCTAGAAGAAGTCATTCATAAATTCCTACTTGCTGGACACACACACATGGAACTAGATGTCAAGCATAGTGTGATAGAGAGGGCGAAGAAAAAACTAAATAATCATACTATTTTTACAACAAATGATTGGGCAAACTTTATTGCTTCGTGCTCAAAAAATGATCCCTTTATTGTGAGGAAAATGGTTTCAAAGACATTCTAGATTTCCTTTACTTTAGAAGTAAGGAAGGACCATTTGTTGCTAGGATGACAAAAACAGACAAGAAACCATTTTTGATATTTCATACAGTGTAGTTACAGCTACGCAAAGATGATAAGTAAGTTATACTATAAGACAAGTTTTGCGGATGAGATCTTTAAAACTGTAGAATTTAAAAGAAATCAGAGAGAAAGGGTTGTAATGCCAACAAAGAAACCAAAATTAAGAGATACCAAAAAAAAGATAAGTAACGAGAAATACAGAGATCTCATGAATTTAATGCAGTGGCTTCCTGAGGAGTATAGAGCCTTCTTTAAGAGTCTTCCACATGGAGATAAAAAGGAAAACATCATAATCATTTTTTTTGCTAATAATATTAGTACTATGTTAAGTCCCAAAACAGGTTCTTGATAAAGTACCACAAAAACGTAATTCCATTCCTATTATATCTCTCATAAAATAAGTTACACAAAAAATATATAAAAATGGATAAGGTACGTTCCCTTTCAATGTTGTAATCAATTTTAACCCTTAACTACTACCACCCTAAAATTATTTCGTAAAAACTATGAGTGGGTCACAGAGACCCAGTTTTTTTTACTCATAAAAAACAATACAAAATAATATTTTGACATTTATTTATAAACACATAAATGGAAACATAACTAAAAAACAATAGCTGTTAATAAACAAAATTTAGGCGCAGTTTGGGCACAAAGTTTTTGCACATTCTATACACACTGGAATATTACAGGTGCTGGTTTTCCTGTATTTTTTGACGGGACAAATTGCACATCTTTTTCTTTTAGAGGCTCCCACTCTTTGTTGAGGTGCTGGGGGTGGTGGAAGTGTATCTCCAATTAAATTAAAAATTTAAGTTTTCAAACCGCGTGGCAACGAAGTTTGATACCTTTTTTGCATATGCGGTATACATAAATTACGTCCAAGTTGTTTTAAAAAATTGTACCTTGAAATTTCTTTACCACCTGAGGCAAATTGATAAATTACTCTACTATTTACCCCTTCAATATTCAAAAGAGCATGAAAAATGGTCATTGGCCATCTTCGACTTCTACGTGAAGTTGTGTAATTGGCACATTTTTGATCAAGCGCATCCACTCCCGCTTTAGTACTATTGTAAAATAGTATTATATCTGGTTTTTTTGTTTGTGCGTCCACTTTATCATCATGGTGGGTACTTGAAATAAGAATAACAGATTTATTTTTTTGGGTACGTATGATACTATTGTCTTCTGAGCAGTAAACCCAAAAATGGATGACTCTGCTTTTCTCTTGGGAGATGGCATAAATTCCAAAGGAATAAATGTTTTGTTTTTCACTGTCCCAACAAATGTCAACTTTAATTTCTCTAATTCTCTCATTAGTTCAACTGAAGGGTACCAGTTATCGGCTGTTATATTTTGAGAAGTATTTTTTATTGGTTCCACCAAACGAAGAACTACTTGGGTTGGATTAGAAAAGTTGTTTGTTTTTTTCTCTGTAGGATCTTTTCGAGCGTAAATTTCAGCATTTAGCATATAATGTATTTGAGAATCTGCAAGAATTTGTACCTTTATGCCGTACTTTGCGGGTTTGTTGGGTATGAACATTCGAAATCCACAACGGCCTCTAAAAGGTACTAACATTTAATCTACAGTCATGCTATCACCAGGTGTATAGTTTTGCTTTGAATTAGTGACAAATTTATCAAACATTTCAGAAATTGGTGCTAGTTTATTTTCTTTTCTTCTATCCGCTCGAGTAGTCTCGTCATAGAAACGAATGCAGCATAAAAGAAATGAAAATCTGGCTATTGGCATAGCAGCTCTTGATAGATCCCTTCCTGTACCATCCGTAGCCTATAGACTTTTTAAGTCCTCATGGCCTGACTTGAACAAACCTTGAAGGTAAAGGAGACCAATAAACGCTTCAATTTCCAATTTATCTGTATTTTTGATAAATGTTGGAAAAAATGATCGGCGCGCATTTTTATGTCTTTTGCATCGACTGTATTTAGCAGCGACTATGTCAATATGTTGATTCGTGAATTGCACAATACTTTCTATCATTGAGTCATCAAAAAGTAATCTCCAACTTTCTAGAGGAGTTGTAGGAGGATGTTCACGTGCTAAACTTTTGACGCCTGCTAAAAATTTAATCAAATTGTTTGAGAGTATTTTACCTTTTTTTGGAGGTGTCTTTGACCATTTCATTTTGTCTTTTTTACCATACCAATAATTTTTTCTTGTTCGTTCATTTTCTGGCGCTATATTTTCTCTTTGGGATTCATCAATTTGTTCATTATTTTCAACCACCGTATCATTCTCAACAGAATCGTCACTCTCTAAATTTTCATTATTGTCAGGTTCCCACTCTTCTTCACTATCAGTGTAATGATCGTTTTGTATTTCTTCATCTTCTTCTTCTTTGTCGCTTTCATCTCCACAGTCCAAAATATTTTTACAAGCATCTAGTTTATCACTGCTTGAAAGAGGTATATTTTCATTATTTTCTTGAGGGTTGTCATCATCTAGCCAAAATTCGTCATTTTCAGCCAATTCTACGAGTTCGTTTTCAGTAAGAGGACGGTTATTCATTTTTCTAAAAAATAAAATAGTTATTAGGAAATACAGTTATATTTAGCGAATACTATTTTGTAGGGAACAATTACCTACCTGACTCAAATATAACTTTTACACTATAACTGGGTCACTCTGACCCAATATGATCGTTCTAACAGACTTGCGATAATTAATTTAAACTAAAAACGCCGCCGCATGTGTTCTCTCTGGCTACCTAGAGCATACTGAGAAGCCCAAGCAATAGAATCTCCGTAGAATGTCGCACTGACAAATTACCAATTGCGCATGGGTCAATGTGACCCAGTGGTAGTAGTTAAGGGTTAAGATGCTAATTTAAACACTAGCTTTGTAGCTTAGCGATTAAATTATTATTTTTACTTTTATTGGTTTCCTAGAAAGTGTGCTAAATGTGACTTACGTCCGTCTGGTTCTGAGGTACAGATATGTGTTTAAAATAGTAAGGATAATATTATTTTACCCGAATTTTACTGTCCCCCGTATACGCTTTCCAACAGCAAGGGAGTGAATCGTACAGGGACTATTATTATCTATACCTGTAATAAGAATAATAAGATTTTTTGAAAAGGATCCACTCTCGATAACTTCGTTCTCGTCTTGATTCAGGTAAAATCCAAGAACAGGTCAATTTTTATCCTTAGGGGGACACATTTTTAGATCACAACTGATTTTGTCGGATCAACTCCATGGCCCCACTTGCCCCCACCTCAAAAACCTTCGATAGCAAGGGGGGCTGAGTGACCCCTCGTTGGAAAGGTTTTTGCATTTACCTTACGACCAAGTACGAATTATTTCGTTTTGTACAGGGTGGTTCAAGAAAAAAGACAAATTGCAATAAATAGACTTAAATTACCTACATCATAATAGATTCATAAAATGACCACTGTTGAGAATAATAAGAATCCTTCCTCATTTAACAATTTATCTCCTGTCGTAAATTCACTTAAATTTTTTGCTTCAGTTTTTGAAGACGGTTGATGAGTGATATCGCGCTATCGCTCTTTTTGTATGCATTTTTATCTGCAATTTTTTGCGCATCTTTACAAGCCGTTTTGACGGATTAGATTTAATCCAAGTAGTTTGCAGTAAGTTGGTATGTCAATTGATTTATTACCTGTAAAATGGTTTAGACCAGGGGTGTCAAAGATACGGCCCGCGGGCCATGATTGGCCCCAAAGACATTCGGATCCGGCTCGTTCATTGTGGCGTCGTCATGGCAACGTGCCGAACAAAGACGGACGACGACGAATACGAAGTAACTTGTTACCGCGCAACTCTCACTTTCAAACTCGTTCAAGTCTCAGTTTAGCTCGCAGCGTTCTCAGTACTCAGTATACAGTTGATCGTTGATTGTCATTGTGATTTGTAATTTTTTAAATACGCGTTGCGTTCGTTGCAATGTCTTCTAATAAAAGACGAAAGGTTGATAGTGAGTGTCGGGTTTTTCAAACAAAGTGGGAACTTTCGTATTTTTTTATTGAGTGGAAGGGCAAACCACTTTGCTTGATTTGTAATCAAACAATTGCTGTATGCAAGGAGTTCAATTTGAAGAGACACTATGAAACCAACCATAAAGAGAAGTTTGACACGTTCTCCAACGAGATAAGGCTAGAAAAACTAGGATCTTTAAAAGGTAAACTTAAGGGGCAGCAATCGTTCTTTACGAAGGCCAAAACCGATAGTGAGAATGCTATGAGAGCTAGTTATGTAATCGCACTAAAAATTGCAAAGAAATCAAAACCTTTTAGTGACGGCGAATTTGTAAAAGAATGTATGTTAGATGTGGCTGATATTTCATTCGCATTTCAGAAACAAGTTATCCAAGATATACCCTTATCAAGAAATACCATTGCTGCCAGAGTTAATGAGTTGGCAGATAATTTGAATAACCAACTTAAAAACAAAATTAAAGAATTTATGTTTTATTCCATTGCTGCAGATGAAAGTACTGATATTAAAGATACAGCACAGCTTGCTGTGTTTATTCGTGGAATCAATAAAGATTTTATCATTACCGAAGAACTATTAAAATGTCTACCTTTGAAGGATACTACTACGGCTCAAGATATTTACCAGGCGATTGAGCAATTAATTTCAATTAATAAACTCGATTGGGGAAAATTATACAGTATTACGACTGACGGTGCACCAGCCATGGTTGGAAAAAATACCGGTGTTGTTACGAAATTACGTAAGAAAATTTCAAATGAAGCTACACCTGAACACAAGTTTATTGGAATTCACTGTATCATTCATCAAGAGTCCTTGGCATCTAAAATACTTAAAATGGATCATGTCATGAAACCAATAATTAAAATTATAAATTTTATTCGAAGCAGAGGCCTAAATCACCGCCAATTCGCACAATTTTTAAAAGATCTCGATGAAACACATTCAGATATTCCATACTTTACAGAAGTTCGTTGGCTTAGTCGCGGTGCAATGCTAAAGCGATTTTTCGAATTGCGCCAACATATTGTTACTTTTATGGCTCAAAAGGGAAAACCAATTAATCATAGCGACGAATGGTGGCTTGATTGCGCTTTCTTGGTAGATATGACGGAACATTTTAACAACTTAAACGTTAAACTTCAAGGAAAAAACACAATTGTCACCCACATGTACTCAAATATACAGGCCTTTGAGATGAAGTTAAAGTTGTTGGAGTCTCAGTTGCGAGAGCAAGTACTTCACCACTTTCCTAGCATTCGAGCATGCGGTACCCACAATGCAGAAAAACTAGCGGAATTTTTTAATCTTTTGCTTGATATTATAGCGGAGTTTGAAAGTCGTTTCGTAGATTTTCGCGTACTGAGTTCCTATGAATTTCCTCTATTTAATAATCCATTCACCTTTGAAGTTGACAAGGCGCCAACATACATGCAAATGGAACTAATAGATTTACAATGTGACACTGTTTTAAAAGACAAGTTCAGCGAAATTGATATTTTGTCATTCTACTCAAAATATTTTAAAAGTAATGACAACTATCCCAACATGAAGAGACATGCTGCCCGTATTTTATGTATGTTTGGAAGTTCATACATATGTGAACAGATGTTTTCAACAATGAAAATTAACAAATCCCAACACCGTTCCAGACTGACAGATGAACATCTACAGGCGATTCTTAAAATCAGTACATCTAATTTGACACCAAACATCGACGGCATAATGAAGCTGAAACGATGTCAAGTATCTGGCTCATCAAAATAGTTACTATACCTAATTTTTATGTAAAGGTATCATATTTATAATTTTTTAAAGATTTTCTTAAATAAAGTTTTGCGTTTTTATAAAAGAATTTTTTTTTTAAAACCAGCCCTTTAAGTATTCCTCGAAAAAAAAAATGGCCCTCAGGCAAATTGAGTTTGACACCCCTGGTTTAGACTATTGCCAAGCGGGTAGAAGTTATTTTCATTTATGATGAGGAGCAGAATTGTGCCCGCGCCACTGCCAGAGTTTTTAATGCGAGACATCTAGAAAAGCAAATGGAGCAAAAATATGTCACGCAACTTGTGCGGAAGTTTTAAGCAATAGGATCGGTGAAAAATATGAAAAGAGAAGGTAACAGAATAGTTAATGAAATGGCTCAAATTATAGTGGTGGGGAACTTTACTTTCAATCCAACCAGTTCTTTGCGTCAGATTGCTACGACCACTGGACTTTCGTATTCATCGGTACGCAAAGTGACAAAACTTTTTAAATTCCATCCTTATAAAATGAAGATACTTCAGGAGCTTGTGGACGATGATACTGATAGGAGATTACAGTTTTGCGAAATTATGACGGAAATGATAAACGCAAACCCAAACTTCATAAAAAACATTTGCTTTATTGACGAATGTAGTTTTTATCTGCATGGCGCAGTCAATAAACAGAATATCCGATATTGGAGTAATAAGAATTCTCACATTTTTAGAGAGGGGTATACTCAAGCTCCTCAGAAATTAAATGTATGGGCAGGAATACTAGGCGATGCGGTAGTCGGTCCGTTTTTCATTAATGAGACTTTAACTGGCGAGGTATATTTAGAGCTGCTGGAGGATATCATAGATCCCTTGATAACGGTTGAAGTTAAAAATCAGCGGGATCAAGATGGAAATCTTGAAATTAAAGAAAATGAGCTTTTTTTTCAGCAAGATGGAGCCCCACCTCACTTCGCTGTGAATGTTCGGAACTGGCTGAATCAGAGATTTCCGCATCATTGGATTGGCAGGCGGGGAGCAATAGAATGGCCTCCACGGTCACCAGATTTGACAGGACCAGATTTTTTCCTCTAGGGGCACCTAAAATCTGTTCTTCAAAACTAAACCAGCAGATTTAGTGGAGTTGCGACAACGAATAACTGACGCATGCAGAAGAATCCCTAGAGAAACCTTTCAACAAGTGAGAGAGGAATTTGAAAACCGCCTTTAGTACTGCATGGAGAATAACGGTGGTCATTTTGAGCACTTGTTGTGATTTTGCTTCCTTTCACTCTAATCCGTTTCTTCTCGTTTTGTAAACAAATAATACGATTTTTATTCCAAAAATTAACCAATTAAAGCGAAATGTAAATCTATTTAATGCAATTTGTCTGTTTTCTTGAACCACCCTGTACAAAACGAAATAATTCTTACATGGTCGTATGGTAAATGCAAAAACCTTTCCAACGAGGGGTCTCTCGATCCCCCTTGCTATTGAAGGTTATTGAGGTGGGGGTGTGATTTAAAAATGTGTCCCACTAAGGATAAAAATTGACCTATTTTTGGATTTTACCTGAATTAAGACGAGAACGAAGTTATCGAGGGTGGATCCTTTTCAAAAAATCACCCTGTATAATAAATTATTAGATAAAGTATATTTAATATATTTTTGTTCGTAGAATCTTACTCATATGTGGGACAAACCTATTCAATATCAGCTTACATGGGTGGAGATGAGGGATATAAACAAGTAATCAATAACACCATCAGACTTTGGTACAGCGATGTTAAATATTTTAATGCATCCTCAGTATCCAGTTTCGAGAAAAAGTAAGTATCCCAAATAATATTTTAATAAAAATATTTTGCATTCGGCAGGCGGTGTGATAAAGCCCCACGGCCGCCTGATCTGCTATGAGTTTTTTAGAGGTTTCCTCATAGTAATAGACAAATAGTAGGTCATTATCATCCTCTTAGATACCTGTAATCATTTCTTTAACCCCATCCCCTTAGACTCGATCCCTGATCCCTCCAAAGTGGCTGAAAAGCTCTAGAAGTGTCTATAGCGTCTCTTTCCTAACTGCGAGAATAAAATACACATTCTCTACCGTTTTAGGGTTTCGTACTCAAGGGTAACCAATGGGATCCTATTACTAAGAAACGCTATTCGTTTGTCTGTCAGTCAACCGGTTGTATCCCATGATCCGTAATAGGTAAACAGTTAAAATTTCTACAGAATGTGTATTTCTGTTTCCGTTAATACAAATAATAAAAATAAATTAAAAATTAAAACCCTACTAGAAACGTGGTTTCTGGCATTTGAAAATCTGGAATTACTAAAAATCAACAATGTATTAAATTTACCAGAGATAACATTGCACTGATATTGACCATATCTTTAGAATCGACTAGATTCTTAGAGAAACTCTCCTACAAATATCGAGAGCGTGTCGTTGAGAGTGATCAGAAAGGTAAATCGATGACGTTCACTCGTAAAAAAGCACGTTTTTTGGTGGTTTTCTTGCTGTTATGCTGATGTCATGTGATTTTAATCGCTTTCATGTAGAAACGTTGTCAAAGTAGGATAAACTGCTGATAACTTATGTGAATTTTCCAGATTTTTTTCTGATGAGTTCGTTTCTTATGCCTTTCAAAGCATTTGTATATTATGCTGTATTTTATAGTATTATAAAAAGTATTCTTGTTTGAAAGCGCTTCTAACGAAGGCATAAGTGTTAAAATTTTGAAAAAACGTATAAATATTTGGACTATGCTGTTTTTCATATCTTTTTGCAATATTAAATTCAAGAGACGCTAAAATGGTGGTTCTCACCTTATCGAGACTGAAGCCCACAATGGTAAACTCGTAGCGTAACAAAAACGAGAAATGATTTAACTTGGAACGAAAGATCGAAAGCCGATAGTAGTATAAGGACGTTCAATTTTTTGGTTTGTGAAGCATTGGCATTAATTATGCTAAACCATGTGATGATTTTTACAAGTCTTGATTTTTAAAACCCTTTTATATTGTCTTTTGATTGGGGTTTACAAACTTTTTTGAGCAATTTATCCAATAATAATTGACCCCTTTACCTCTGAAGCCTGCTAATGTAAAATATTTGGGCTCCTTACTTCGCCTATTTATATAATATTAATAAAGGACAGAAGGATGAGTATTGCAACTGTGTTAAAAGAAATAAATTGGCTTACAGTTCAAAATTATTTTTAGTACATGACTGATATTTATTTATAAAATAAAAATGACAGAGTATCATCTCATCAGATTTATTAGAAAAAATTCAATGTAATTCGCAATATCACAACTATATTACAAGAAGCCAATCTGACTTTCATGTACGGCAAGCCATCACTAAAAGTTCCCAAAATACAATTTTTATTAAAGGTTTAAAAAACTTAATAGACTTCCTACAGAAATTAAAAAAAAAATAACAATAAATGAATTCAGAAGTAACCTTAAACAATACTTGATAAATAAACAGAACGGATATACTTTCTCGTGATAATACTCTTTATACCTGCTCTTTTTAAGTATTTCTCTTAATTTCTTGTTATTATACCCCTCGTTCTACCCGCATTTATTATAAATTATTTCTGGTAAGAGATCATATTCCTTATTTTAAAAAATTACTTGATGTTATATTAATACTACTTACTATGTTTAAATTATTAATAGTTTTGCGACGATAGGTTATAGCAACTTATAGCCACAAAACTATTTTTGTGTTAAAGTAAATCCATAGCGACCAATGTAATTTACAAAGGCCATCTTTCAACATACAAATAAATGACAACTTTATACTTAAAATAAAAAACACAACAAAATACCTAGGTACCAAGTTAAGAAGATACATTTTTAAATTTTATTTATTAAGGAAATTCATGACTAAAAGTTTACTAATTATTATTTACAATTCGCTGGTTGAATATGTATTCCAAAATTGTATAATAAATTTTTTCTACAAAAACAGCATTATATCCTACCACTCTTTTATATAATAAAAAATGCTTTGTATAAAAACATTAAATTATCTGTCTTGTTGTACCTTTATTTATGGAAAACCTAAATTGAGATACACTACAAATTATTTGTAATAAATATCAGAAGAAGTATACATTTTTATATAAATTGACATTTAAGAGCCATTCACACATCACAGTTGACATCTTGATACTTAGACACAGCCAAGCATTATTCTAATTTTTGTCAAATAAAATGGCCGGTTAATTATTCTATGGGGTTGCGACAGAGTGCCAGTAAATTTGATAAAGGTGTTTTTGTAGCAAGGGGTGAAATAGTAGTACGCTTAAGTTAGCATCACCATAAAAAAGTAATTTTTAAGAAATTGCTTATATATGTTTCATAAATTGGCAGGCTTGGCTACTAATTTCGATTAAAAGTAGCCTCCAAAATGGCTATGGTTGCAAGTATGGAGGTCAAAACCCGTCTTAGAAATTTCACCTTTACTATCAACAGCTGTTGTTTGGCAGGTCGTTAGAAAATTTATGGAATTTTAAGGATAGGAATGTTGACGTTAGAAATAATTGGAATTTCTGAAATTGTCACATAAGAAATGCATAGGCGGATTTTAATAAAACTGTGTAAGGGGTTTTCTCGCTACAGAGAAAACGGTTCCTTACGAATGACGCTGGTTACGGGCGGTTCTCGAGCACCAGATTTTTGATGATGGTTTACTTCACAAACTTTTGAAACGGCGTCGAAAGTACTAGGGTAGCTACAGATGGAGATAAAAAATTCCAGGGGCCAAAGGTCACTTAGACACAGGTAATAGTAGGCAACAAGTAACGGGCTTTAATCGTTGCTTGGACTCGTACAGAATTTATCACTAGCTGAAATATAAGGGGGAAATAAAGTAGGGAATTATTAACCAGTAATACGGCAAGTTAACATTGACACATATATTGTGAATAACTATTTACAACATAAAAAAATTATCTATTTCAACGCCCACCCAAGTTGTGGTGATAGTCAATATAACCCTGAATAAAAAAAAAACAAAACGGACGGTATTGAATCGCGACTAGTCTCAATCAGACGTCAAAATTGAATTCAAATAAAATGTATGTTTCGGTCGCAGAGAAAACAAAATTATTGACTTGTCTATTTACTCGGTAATTAAATTAAATTAAAATGTAGGTATTTCACTATTTAGGTAAGGAAAAATTAGCTAAACGGTCATAGAGAGTACGAGGAGACAGGGACGCGAAAGAATTACTTATAGTAAATATACGGAAAGAAAATAAAAATAAATTTATACATGGGGTAGCCTATTATCCCAGAATGAGCTGATCGTCATCACGAGCCCGCTCAGACAGGGTAATAAAGCTATTTTTGATTTCTGCAAGTTGCAGTTTGCACGAAAAAAATGAAGAGTATAAAGGGAAAAAGAAAACTAATGCGGATAGCACCTAGTCCAAGAATAAACTGATCGTCATCACGAGCCCGTTCATACAGGGACAGGATACTATTTTGTAACGAAGTTACTTTTATTTAATTATTTGTAAAAACATAGAATTCGTCGGAAAAAAAATCGAATTTAGCATTTTTTAAAATATACCGAAGTTACTTTAATCGAATTACTTGAAAAACATAGAACCCATCGAATTTAACATCGTTTTTAAATTTCAATTACTTGCCATTGGATCCTTATATTAAAATGTAACCAAGTTTCTTTTATTTAAATTATGAAATGCAATCAAAAAGCCAGATTTAAAAGCATTTTTATTTTATTATTACTAATTACCATAAAAACTTAACGTCGCAATTCGATTTTCAAGCGAATTCTGTGTTTGAAATACTTTGGTCATCTATAAATGTTGTGAGTGAGCGGCCGACCACGGTAGCTATGGCAACACGTCTACGCGCGTTGCGACCTATAAAAGGAGCAAGCAAAGCGAGAAGCAGACAGTTCTCGTCGACAGTCAGTCCGGTAAACATCTAATTAGAAAAGATCTCCGAATCCCGTTGCCCCGACCGTGCTCAGGTAGGAAATTTGCTTTGTCGGCTGTGTTTGCCTAGTTTTGATTTTTTTTAGTATTCCGTTTTATGTTGTATCAAAATTTCGGGGTTTTCTTTTCCGAAATTTTTGAAATTACTGAAATATACGTTATATGCATTCCTATTTTTCCTATAAAACAGGTTTAAAATTAATTGGTGCCAGAACAAGAATAAATTTCGTATTACTTTTAAGTAGAGTCAGTAATTTTGGATTTTGTATCTATTATAAGGGGGAGTTCCTTAATTAACCAAATTTTAGAAAATAATATCCGAACCTAGAGACTGCCTGCGTGAGTGGTTCACAAGGGTTTATCTAGTATTTTGGATATTGTGTTAGAGTAGTTTCCGATTATTATTAGTATTATTTGGGTTAATTTCCGATTATAATTAGTATCATTTGAAGTAGCTTTCGCTTTATTTTCAAAAAGAATTTTAGAATAATATCTGAATCTAGAGACTGCCTGCGTTGAGTGGTTCACAAGGGCTTATCTAGCATTTTGGATATTGCTTTGGGGTAGTTTCCGCTTGTTGGGGTAGCTTTCGCTTTATTTTCAAAAATAATTTTAGAATAATATCTGACTCTAGAGACTTCCTGCGTTAAGTGGTTCACAAGGGCTTATCTAGCATTTTGGATATTGCTTTGGGGTAGTTTCCGCTTGTTGGGGTAGCTTTCGCTTTATTTTCAAAAATAATTTTAGAATAATATCTGAATCTAGAGACTGCCTGCGTTAAGTGGTTCACAAGGGCTTATCTAGCATTTTGGATATTGCTTTGGGGTAGTTTCCGCTTGTTGGGGTAGCTTCCGCTTTATTTTCAAAAAGAATTTTAGAATATTATCTGAATCTAGAGACTGCCTGCGTTGAGTGGTTCACAAGGGCTTATCTAGCATTTTGGATATTGCTTTGGGATAGTTTCCGCTTGTAGGGGTAGTTTTCGCTTTATTTCGAAAATAATTTTAAAATAATATCTGAATCTAGAGATTGCCTGCGTTAAGTGGTTCACAAGGGCTTATCTAGAATTTTGGATATTGCTTTGGGATAGTTTCCGCTTGTTGGGGTAGTTTTCGCTTTATTTTTAAAATAATTTTAGAATAATATCTGAATCTAGAGACTGCCTGCGTTGAGTGGTTCACAAGGGCTTATCTAGCATTTTGGATATTGCTTTGGGATAGTTTCCGCTTGTAGGGGTAGTTTTCGCTTTATTTCGAAAATAATTTTAGAATAATATCTGAATCTAGAGACTGCCTGCGTTGAGTGGTTCACAAGGGCTTATCTAGCATTTTGGATATTGCTTTGGGGTAGCTTCCGCTTGCTGGGGTAGTTTTCGCTTTATTTTTGACTAGCCGTTTGGATATTGTAATTGGGGTAGTTACTGAATATTTTATTTTTATTATTAAAGAAAGTTTTGATATTAATAAGGGAAATTGTCATTGCTTCTTTTATATTTTCCTAAAGAAATAATACCGACAAGAATATTTAATTTTTTTTTTATAAATATAAGGTGAGTTCCATCATTTTTTTTTAATTTAACACAAAAATTGTTTGGTAATAATAACGTTTCCAATGCCTGGTACTAATTAAGTTTTGAAAACCATTAAACCATTATTCCGTTTGCATTTAGAATTTACTATAATAAATAAAACACAGCCACGGGCCGAATTTGTAAACTTAATTTATTCCTTTGATATATTTCTGTCAATAATTAATAAACGTCTGATTGAGCTCCGTCCTGTCACAGCTACCGTTCCGCAACCGCTATTTTTTTTTTCTCTCTTATTTTTTTTTTTTTGTTCAGGGTGGGGCTTTGAAATATTTTACGACATTTGTTATTAGCTTTCGTAAGAAATACATGTGTTAATTTTGAATTCTGGCTTATAATTGTGTGTCGACCTTTCCCCTTTCATTTTTTATTTCAGCTTCAGAATACGATTAAAGCCCGTTATTGTTACCTACTTTTATTGATAGTCTAATATTAACAAGACCCCTAGAGTTATTCCGTCACCTCCACTAGAAGCTGCCCGAACTGTGGAGCAAACCACATTAAAAAAACTGGCGCTCGAGTACTTCCGAGTCTCAGGGTATCACTTGTAGGGATTATATTTTCTCAGAAGAAAGAAAAGAATTTTACAATTTAAAGTTATTTAAATGGACGGTGAAAGAGAAAAACAAACTATTATCGGAGGGAAGAAAATTACTAATGCGGATAGTACCTATTCCAAGAGTGAACTGATTGTCATTACGAGCCCTTTCAGGCAGAACTGGATATTATTTAAGATTATTGAAATTTGCGGTTTTACAGATTAACTAAATAAAACAATAACGCGGACAGTACCTACTCCAAGAGTGAAATGATCGTCATCATGAGCCCGTTCAGAGAAGGACAGGATGCTATTTAAGATTATTCAAATATACGGTAAAAGAATAAACAAACTATTAAAAGAGGGAAAACGTCTCCTCGAAAACTCCGTTTACAAATATTCCCAACTTAATTACAACGCGGCACTTACTAAACAAAAGTATTTATCAATAAAATCAAATTTAATTTCCGATTTAACCTTTTAAAAAGAAAAAAAAATAATTTCCTAATACAGACTAACGATCAAAAGTCTAAATCCCGGTTTTACAATATTACAGAATCAAATCCTATCATTTATTATTTAAATAAAATTCTATTCCTTTTAAAGAAAGGGTATTATATTTGCCAAGAAATAAATTAAAATATTTATTAATGAAATCAAATTAAAGTCTTTTAACTCAACATTATCTATAAAAAAAAATTAAATCTTTTAACCAAACACTGAATGAAAATATTCCTATCCCTAGAAGCTAAAATAAAATTCGGTCTCAATATAAAACGTAAAAAGCGGAACAAGGTTTTTTACCTTTGTATATACGCGAAAAAACATTATCGACGGTGATTTGATTTGTGCTGCAGCTTATTAATCTCGACTGGTGGCAATAAAATATTTTATCGAACTGATAATTTAAATAGCATCTCGGGTCTCGTTCAACTACTGAATCCCTTTCCCCATCAGAAACCTCACCTACGCTCAGACCCACCGCGCACGATACTCGATCGGCGTTCGCGCATGTAAATCAACTTAGAACTAACAGTTCAATCGTGTTTAATATTTATTAAAAATAAAAAATGAATATAAACTGATTGAGGAAAAATTGACTTCATTACAACTGATATTAAAGTAGTTAGGATGAATCGAAAATTCTGAAAATCAATAGGGTTCTAAGTTAGAAGTAATTATTTAAGAAAATCAAAACAGCTAGTCAATCAGAACTTTCGTTCTAGAGTTATCGTGCCGGAATACATACACACAGACGACCAGACAAAAATTGTTTTTGCATTTTGCATGATCGGAAACATGAAAAAAAGTTTTAAAAAAATGGGGGTAAGAAAATTTTTTGTCTCCACGAATGCAATACTGAGGCCCCATAGGAAGGGTCTCAGTAATATTCTTTAATATTTTCCTGGAAAACATAAAATATATAAAGAATGTCAGTTTACCAAGATTAAGATAATTATATAACAGTTCGTGAAATATCGCTCAACTCTATTTAACATTCATTATATTGACGTTCGTATTTTAAAGAATTTACAATAGGGTAAAGGACCCCGCCCTTTTCTAATGGCAAAGTGGCGTTCCGTCAAATGTAATAAATTTTTAATATGATGTTGTACTTAACTTGTTGACCAAAAGTGTTTATGGGACCAATTCGATCCTATGACTAGTTTTTAAAATACAGGGTGTTAAATTCGAGAAATCATATTCCTTGAAACTACTACGTAACTTAATTAAAAAGAAAAATAAGGCATTTTTAGTTGATTGTAGCATTAATATGTCCTAGTCTAACGCAAACGTACACATAAATAGTTTAAAATGTAAACATATACAGGGTAGTACTCAGTTACATCAAGGAGAATTTTTGAAATTCTGAGAGATTCTGATATGGAATGAAAACATGGTCAAAAATAAAAACTTACATAATGTTTGCTGTTCTGACATTATGTAAATCTATTTCACATTATATGTATACGGGGTGATTGTTAATTAATTTCACAGAAAGGTTTCTTAAAAAATAATAATTACACTGTATATTAGGGAATTTGTTATTAATATTGATTATGCATTTAATACCTAGAAATCAATACTTTTTATAAAATACAGGGTGACAGACACATCTAATTAATTTTTGGTGCAGCAATAATTAAAGAAATATTCCTTTTTCAGAATCACCCTATATTTTTCAATTCGATCCGTCAAAATGTACGAACTATTTATTTTTGTTATTAGCTTTAAGCAATTAATCACTTCATATAATAAAATTTCATAATTTTAGTATGATCCGTTTTTGAGATTCCAATATATCTCGTATAGTGAACCATTAAATATTTCTTTAATTATTGCTGCATCAAAAACGAATTAGATGTGTCTATCACCCTGTATTCCATAAAAAGTATTGTTTTCTAGGTATTAAATACATAATCAATAGTAATAACAAATTCCCTAATAAACAGAGTGTAATTTTTTTTTAAGAAACGCCTTTCTGTGAAATGAATTAATAATCATCCTGTATACATATAATGTAAAATGGGTTTATATAATGTCATAACAGTAAATGTTATATAAGTTTTTATTTTTGATCATGTTTTCATTCCATATCAGAATTTCAAAAATTCCCCCTGATGTAACTGACTACCACCCTGTATATGTTTACATTTTAAACTATTTATGTGTACGTTTGCGTTAGATTGGGACATATTAATGCTACAATCAACTAAAAATGCCTATTTTTTCTTTTTAATTAAGTTACGTAGTTTCAAGAAATACGATTTCCCGAATTTAACACCCTGTATTTTAAAAACTAGTCATAGGATCGAATTGGTCCCATGAATACTTTTAGTCAACAATTCGAGTACAAGATCATATTCAAAATTTATTACATTTGACGGAACGCCACTTTGCCATTAGAAAAGGGCGGGGTCCTTTACAGATGCTTTGTGACTTTTGTTAAAATTGTGGTATGTTTATTTTTAATGTTTTAGTGTAGAGGTTGACAGAAGTTACACTCAGTTAGTATGGGCCAAAACCAAAGAAGTTGGATGTGGAATTACTAGAACTGAAAATCGTAATTGGTCCAAGTACTATATTGCTTGCAATTACGGACCAGGAGGTAATATCATAGGAGAGCCTGTATACGAAATTGGCAGTCCAGCTTCAGCCTGTACACCAGAATTACCAGTAAATTCTAATTATCCAGGATTGTGTGGGCAAGATAATATTAATTAATAAAATTAATTTATAATTATTTACTTTTGAAAGTTAAAATAAAAGGTACCAGTTTTAAAATATATTTTAATACATATATTGTGTCTGGAAAAAAAAGGCCAACATAAGAAGAAAAAATTATTGATTTTTCAGAAAATATAGACGTAAGTACATTGTCTAAAACCAAAAACTACGCATCTATCCACGGATTAAGTGTGGCAAGGGAACTTCGGAAAATCAAATTCTGGAATTTCGATTTAGTTTATAGGGTCCTTAATTATCATAAGTAAAATCCCTTAAAACTGGAGGCAATGTCACATTGCACTCATTTCAGTAAATTAACTCAAAGTAGTCTGTAGCACTAAAATTAATTTTTGGTACCACAAAGTGTCTTACTTCAACGGTTTCTCGACTGGTTTCTCTAGCCTCTAAGATTATTCGTGGAGATACTTCCTGAACCCATTCACGAGGGTCTGTTAGCATACACAAAAGAATGTTTTCGGGGTTTATAAAGTAGGCGTTTTTTTGTATTACCGTATCCACAATACCTTTTAAATCATCTCTTAAATACAGTGACAGTTCAATCGTTTTAAATACATGCAAACTACTACTGGAGAAACTTAAATTTAGTTTATTATTAAACCACTTTAGGGCATACACTTATATTATGAATTCGACCATATTCGTAAGGCTTGATGTTGGCTTAGAGCCGAAGGACACGATTTGTCATTGTGCGCCATCTATAGAGTGCGGTAATTTTCTAGGATTATGGCTCCGAGCAATTACTAACAGAGGGAGCGTGAAAACGAGTTTGTAGGCGATTGTTGTGTTAGCAACATCTGTAGAGGAAGTGAGGAAGCGGGCACAAGGGGGAAGGTAAACATCCTTCTTGTTCAGTGGCGTATCATTTATCTATAAAAACACACATTGTCCAAACGTTTTAATTGTAAAAAAAAACTAAAAATTTGCTAATTTTACTATTTTTAAAAAGAATACCGTCTTATATGTGTCTAATGCAGGAAATGAAACAAAATCACTGTAAAGGTCTAATTTTTTCAATTGAAGAATAAAACCTTAAAGTCAAATTTATTATAAATAAATACAATAGCGACTAGTTTCGGCCATCCAGAAATATCTTCAGGCCTGTATACAATAATCTTTAATTATTATAATAGGTTGGTCACTTGAGAATAACATTAAATAGTATAAACCACAAAAATGGATCCATATTGTAGCGTTAGAGCATTATAGAATTAAAGCTGTGAAAATAAAAGAGCAGTGCAAACGTAACTAAAAATAAGAAAACTGAGTACGAAATCTACAAGAGAAGAGGTGATAATGAGCAATTTTGAATGCATTTAAATTGCTCAGAATAACAAATAAAGCTAATAATGTAGTGGTATAGTCCCCGTCAAAGAAGGTCTGGATATGTTAAAGAGGACGGCGTTTTCTCTGTAAATCTGGAGAATGTAAGGATGGATAAATCTTGCTGGCTTAGGTGTAGATGGCTATAAAAAGGAGCGTGTAGATAAAAGCTACAGTAAATATCGTCACTTTCGTCAAATTTGTTGTTCTCTCTCACCGTTTCGGCTTTATCTTTGAAATTCATTTTTAAAAGGAAATAAAATCGATGTGAAAATACAACAGATAATAAAATGAAATAAATTAACACAAGTACAAATAGAAAGTTAATAACATACCTTCTAAAAGTAACACATTTTAAGTAGATAAATGTTTAAAGAGTTTATTCCTGAACATAACTAATCTAACATTTTTCCCCTTTTTAATATTATGAGGGTTTTTGTAGTTGAAATGAAAATTATAATTTATTTTGGTCCTAATAAAAATTTAAACATAGGTTATCAAAGAGTAAAATACATAATAGAACTTCATAATCTTAAATCGTTATCAAAAATTATTAATGGTAAAACTTCAAACAATAATTAGATTCTTAAACAAATTTCTAGTTTTTGTTTTGCAAAGACTTTTTGCCTTCATCGGTTGCCTCTGTCACTTTTCTTTTAGTAGTTTCGAGGAGAATTTTCCTATGGAAACCAGTAGAACCATCAACTGATTGGTAAAATTTTGATATTTTGAGTCTGGTAAGTCTTGTTAAACTTTCTTCTTAGGAAGCTATAACCTTATGGAGAATAAACATTTAATGTTAGATCAAAAGCTCTTAATTGAGAATTATATTTGCAAAGGCCGTTTTAATAATATTTTCAAAAGTTCTTGGAATCGTTGTTAACAGAAACCTGTAACAAAATAAATAATTTTGTTCCTAAAATATAAGATATCACACAATGCACATTCATATAATATCATTGTACTAGAAAAATACTAAGTAGGTACTGAGACAATTTAAAAAAAGTATTTCGAGAAACTCAACTTTTAATGTACTTAACTTTTTTATTGCTAAATTATCAATAATGTCATTTTGTGTAGTTCGTTGTGATTAGTATAATATATATTATAAAAACCTTTCGTCAATGTTAATGTGCCAAGTTTTTTTTAATAATTATGTTCTTGTTAGAGTAAAAACACATTTAAACACATTTTAAAAGTTTTCTGGATTTCTGCTTTAAATTATCGTACAATTAAACTGACTAATTGTGTGTTTAAGTAAAGGTATATTTCTTTTTTGTTATAACAGTCTTTGTATATTGTTCTAACTTTTTATATAATCAGAGTAAACAGTAAGACATCTTAATATATTCTATTTCACCAACAAAAATGTTGAATAATTAATCTCACATCAAACGAAAAGTCATTTTAGGATGTTCTAATAGGTTTTAACTTAAAAACTAAATAAAATGTACGAGTATATTGCAACTGTGTTTAAATAAATAAATGTTTCTATACCTGACTATAGTACCAGACAAACATTTTTTTAGATCATAATGATCTGCATAACTCAAAATAGTCAAAGTCCACAATATTTAAGTTGTTCTAGTATTGTTTTAGCATAACGATGTAAACTCCAATAATAAATATTCACATTTTTTTGGGACGTTTTTGAAGGAAATTAAAAAAAACATGAATAATGTGATATTCTTGTTTAGTTTTGTACTATATAATATAGTTTATTAGGTAGTGATTTAGATGCAAATTATGTTCTATTTATAGAATAAAAAATCACTCATAATACTTATCTAAATATTTATACCTATTTATATTTTGGACAGGAAGACTATTTTATGTTTTTGGCTCTGAATAGTTTTCTTAAGAATTTTAAAACCTTCCTTAGCTCATTTAAGATATTCCATGCATATCTTAGAAGTTCATTTTGTTTAAACCTAAAACAAATTAAGTACAAAAAAATGAAAATTTAAACAATACACAAAATTAATCTTTTAGATTATGTAAAAAAAAGCGTCAACAAAAAAATGGCTATGCCTTTTTACTTAAACATTCCTTTTGAAATAAACTTAAGTTTCTCTACTTACTTGCTATTTTAGTATTTTAGTAGCAGATGAATATAGTGTAGAAGTAGTGACAGGATTGATTATTATACTTCTTTCTTCGAAATTGCATTTTTCTTTAATATTTTCTTCCCCTGAGGTCTATAATAAAAATGTTTATTGGCATAAAAAGTTATTCAGGTGGTCACTAGTTGAATTCCTATATTTTGGAACCATGTATTTCATTCTCATATCAAGAAAAGGAAACCTAAAAAAAATAACAATAAACTTTACAAAAATGTGATATTAAAGTAATAATAAGTAATTAACCTTTACTATTATCATTATGAGACGGATAAAGACGAACTCAGCTGAAGTTTACTTGTTCTTAATTTTAATTTTTCGATAAGAAGATAAGAAAGTTTAATTGCAAATAATTAAAGGTGATTGCCTAATGCACCGCCTCTGATAATTAGGTTGTGTCTGTACTTACTTATGATATTATCTTGAAGAAGCATTTTCAACAGGCCTTTTACACATAAAGCATGTTTTCGCCATATTATTAGAGATAATAAATCTTAAATATACATTTACAACCATTACAACGTTATAAGTAATAATATTTTCCCTAAAATACTAAAATACAAATAGGAAATTGACATGTGTCAGAAAGTGTCAGAAAATTCAGAACTGGCGCTGTCAAACTTGGCAACGCTGATTAAATAAGCCAATTACAGAAGAGGTATTTTCCCCTTCGGGGAGAGTAGATGTTGCTAACAAAATTTAGCGCGGGGAAGGGGGAAGACTCCCTCTAGTAGTAATTGCTCGGAGGATTATGGTATGCTAAATTTGATGAGAAATTGACGCTTGACATTGCACTGCAAATGTCATAAAAATATGATTGATTATAACTTAAATATCTAGACACTACAGGTCTATTTGGCAACTCACATTTTATTGGAGTAAAATTTACAATTTTAAGACGTTCACATTTTTCTAAAGACTTCCCGATGTAGACTGCCTTTTATCTGCAGTGTTTATACCGGAGAAATACTTCCAATATTTAAAGCTTTGAAGACCTGTATGGATCAATACTAAAAAGTAGCGATATGTACATCCCATAGTTCAATCTATATACCAGGCCTGCCATGAACTTGTCAACAAAAACATATCCATAACACTTATTTGGGTATCTTCTCATGTAGGGATTATCGGAAATGAGTTAGCTAATAAAGCAGCCAAAGAAGCATCCCTATCCGATTCGCCGCCTGTAAATATCCAACTCTAAGATACCTAAAAGCTAGTCTCAAGATAGCCACTCATACCAAATGCCAAGATATTTGGAATATAAAAAATACAAAACTTTATACGGTGCAACAATCCATCCGAACTTTCGACATGCCCACAAAGTTATCATCACTAAGGAACGGTAATTCTCGTCTCACGCATGGTTATCTGATGGCTACGGAAAACACTCCCCTATATGATCATTGCAGCTAGAGATGGGTTGGAGCAGGATTTTAAAAAAGCAGTGACAGCTGATACTGTTTCAACAAAAAACCTGTGACAAGTAACTGCTTTTTATGATAAATTAAGCGTGAGTCTCGTTCCTGTTCCTTCTTCATCGCATCGTAAGTTATTTTCCCGATATCATTATTTTGTTTTAAGTAGG